TGGGACTATACCTCACGTAATTTTTACCATTTCTTTTAAAAATTTTATTTTTAATATAATCTAAAATAATTATAATAAATCTTAAAAGGTTCTATCAACTTAATTTTTAATATTACAACAATAAAAAAAAATTACAACATTATCTTTAGCTTAAATATTATAATGTGTGTGCCTGTGTGTGTGAGACGGAGAATTGGGTGGGGCAGGGTTGGAGAACGTCCTCGACCCTATGTATCTAACAGGAAAAAAATGTTCCCCACTCCCTCCCTCATTCCCCGTCTAAATTGAAAATCTCCTCCTCATTCGGAGCGAGTCTCTGTAGCTAAAATGGACATCTCTAATATACGGTGTGGGGACCGAGAATTCTCCCTAGAGAATTTACATGAATTAGGTTTCATACACGATTTTTTCCCATGTGTTGTATACTTTTTAAATATTCATTTTAAAAAAAATAATGAATAAGTATAATATTTTATTAAAAAAGGTAAAACATCCTAATAAATCAACAAAAATAAATTATAACCCTAAACATAATTTCTAAAACTTTAATTTTTTTTGTAGGATAATATAAACTTCAAATATTTATTTATATTTTATTAAGTTCTTTCTTTCTAATTTCTTTTGGAATCCAAGACTTTTAATGTGAATGAACAGATAACGTAACGTACAAGGGAGGGAATGAAAGAAAGAAGATAACAAAAGTTCAAAAGATAATAATAAAAGATTTTTTAAAAGTTAATTAGGTTCCATCATATTTCACAATCGTGTCACTGGCAGGAACCCTAATTCAAAATTCAAAATTTGAATAGAGTTTACAACAAGTTCAACCCTTTATTTTTTAGTTTGAATGGTCGAGTTATTCTTTTTTTTTAATTATTTTAAAAAATATTTTATTCCTTTTACCATACATATTACATTAATAACCAAAATCTTATAAAATTCAAATATCAAATATTTATAAGTCACAACACATCACTTACATTAATTATAAATGCTAAATATAAAGTTAGATTGAATTATTAACCCTATTTTGAGTTAGTCGGATTCACATTTTCTCCCTTGCTTGCACTTAAAAGAAAGATATTTATATTAATTTCTCATATTTATGAAATTAATTATTAGGATTTATTATTATTCACAAACGTTTGGCTATTAACAGAATGAGAAGTCAAATCTTTATTGGTAGTGGGTACTTGTGGTTTTGGTACATTTTTGTTTCAACTTGTGATATTAATTCATTTTGGTTTGCTTTTTTTTTTCTTTTTCTTTTTCTTTTTTACATATTCATCTAACTTTTTTTTAAGTTTAACTTCAACAAGGAGGAGTTTGAAAAACGTTCTAAAAAGTCTATGATAGCATGTTCGTAAGTTATCGTAGCCATTATTTGTTGCAGTGCATTTTCTTAAACCTTCGAAGTTAAAATGTCGTTTCAGAACTCATAGAATTATATTTATTTATTTATTTATTTGTGACATTCGAGTAAAATAGGAGTACATCTAAGAAAAACTTAAAAGAATTGAAAATCACTACCTATACCAACAAGGTAGACGTTCCTTTTCAATGGCTAAATTATAATAACTCCATGGTTAAGCATGATTTGCTTGGAAGCAATTTTATGTTAGATGACCTCCTGAGAATTTTCTTAGGATACTTGTGAGTGAGAACAAAGCATGTTTGAAGGACTCATGTTGATCTATGGGGATAGTTTTCATTCTTAGAAGCAAAAAATGAGTAACGTGACTATGTTTTAGGGGATTGTCGAAGCAATTATATGTCAAATTCAAATTCTGAATCTTGGGCATTGGTCGTTACAATAGTTCGCTGCAGAAGCTCCATTAACTCTAATTATGAAAGTATCTCACTTCAATATCCCGTTATTATTATGAGATCTATTTTTGATAGCTTTTAAAAAAAAGAAATAGTACTTGATTTAAGAGACAATATCTTATAATCTCTTCACAAATTTAGGATAAATTATTAATACCTCTTCTTGGTCATAGAGGGAATTTTGGGCCTGTGGCAAGCCCAGTACCCAATCAAACACAGTCCTTCAGACCTCGAATTTGACAACCGACCGCTGAAGGTTGAAGATGACCAATCCAGTTGGACTGACCAGCTCGGTTTAATCAAATTGGTTCTCTTACTTGGTTTCGGTTTAATCAAATTGTTTCTCCTACTTGGTTTAGGCTGTAATTATCCTATTGTGATAATCCTTAATTTTCTCTAACCTAATTAGCGACGTTACTTTGTACTTGCATAACGACAGAACGAGAGTTCACGTAAGACAATCTCAATAACGATAATACGTTCATTATTATAAGCAGTTCATACTTGGGGGAAAACAATAATGCTAGCCTAACCTAGAAATAATCAACAGAGAACTAGAGGAACAATTGCAATAACTATGAACCCAAAAAAATCCAACAAGACGCCTACAACACTACAAACCCTCCTTAAGATTTCTATGGCCTTCGCAGCATCCACCGTCAGCCGTACATGGGAGCCTTGCCCTTACCTGAAAATATGGGTAGCACGTGGCTTGAGTATTATATAAGTACCGAGTAAGTCGCCCCACTGTTGAGGTTAAGCATATAATCATACATCAGGATACATGTGGTCGCACACAATACACATACATGAGCACAAGTGTCAAAAAAAAGAAACTGAGAGAGGGGTCTGTCTACCATTCCTTCCCATGGCCTTAGGCCCTTGCTTTGTCCAGGCGGGGGTGGATGCATGGTACTTTCCCACACATGGCCCACGTGCGTGACTGTGGGCCCACCAGGCGAGTTCGCATGCGAACTCCCTGAGCCTGGCTTGGTCGGGTATGTATGACATACAATACCGGACACCACGGAAAAGGAGGGCCTGCATGATATCATGGCGAATACAATATCGAATGTACGCATCCATACCATTAGTAGCATAATGGGGGAGTGCCCCATGTACATAACCATAGCATGCATAAGGTTCTTAAGGGTTACCTCCATGGCATTATACATACAAGGTTCTATCCCCTCATCGCATTACATAGCATAACTGGGTTAAACATCGAGGGCCACAGGGTAGCAAAACCGTGTCACAAACATCACATTCATGGCATGCGGGGTTCTCATTACAATCATGACATGTCAATCAAGCTCATACATACAGGGTAGCAAAACTGTGTCACAAACATCACATACATAAACATGGCATACATAGCATTTCACTGCAAGAAACATATAACCTAGCATACATCAACAACACACATGGTGCATGCAAGGGCCACAGGGCACGCACCAACATACATACATAACTAATCGCCAACAGTAAGGTTACTTACCTTCTTGGCCTTGGTCGAAGTCACCCACAACGCTAACTCCGGCGCAGGGTTTCTGGGTGTGCCTCTGGTTTGGGCCAAAAGGGAACGAGGCCCAGTGGTGGTGTCCGAGCGCAGCCTGCGAGGTGCGGGCTGCACGCTGGCCAAAACGAACTCGCAGAATGCCGAGGGTCGACCAGCGCCGTCGCTTCGTCTTCCTCGCCCGAAAGCCTTGACAGCCCTAATCGCGGGGCTTGGCTACTGTCTCCGGTGGAAGTGTCGTCGTTCGTCCGTCTCCCGTGGCGCGTCTGTCTCTCCTTGCCCCGGCGTACACTGGCGTCCACTCCTACCTAAAGGAGGTGGCCACTGCAGCCCTAGGGTTTAAGGGGGTCTGAGTGAATCCTGCCGAAAATCACGAGATTTTCGGCGCGCTTTTTATTTTTTATTTTTGAAATGTGTAACGTACATTATAGGACTTATTCAAGAAGTTTGGGAAAATTTGGAGCATGTCAAAGGTATGAACCAACGAAAAAAGTAGTACCCAAATCAAGTAACAACTAAGAAATTTGGATTAAGAATGTCTTGTAGTATGTGTTGGAGCATGTTATAAGAAGTATTATGTGAAAGTTTAGACTTGAAATAAACTAATTAAGAATGTCTTGTAGTATGTGTTGGAGCATGTTATAAGAAGTATTATGTGAAAGTTTAGACTTGAAATAAACTAATTTGAATGATATTCAGTTTTGTGATTCTGATGATCCAACTCAACATTGAACGAAATTGAAAGTATAACTAGGTGTTCATGATTAGATTATCGTATTATGCTTACTAAATTAAACGATGAAAGATACGTTGATGATATGTTTACATTGTTAAACAAAAGTGATTAATGATTCACCATCTAACCACTAATCGAGAAGGTTAGAATCGCTCAACAACGCACACACTCGATCAAGATGAATACAAAGAACAGAAGAGAGAAAATTGAGGAATATTGGTTAAAGGGTTTATTGATGATTTCAGGTATGTACAATAAGAGAATACAAAAAATGAAAAAAAAAAAAAAAAAAAAAACCTACATTTTGAGAGCACTAACTAATACGGTATATATATGGTTTCAATTTATTAAATATAGCTTTCAAAGATTTAAACCTACTAGATATAATCTAACAAATATATCTCTATCAAATCTTTACTAAATATCTTCCAAATATATCTCTACGAGATCTAGGCATCAGGCTCCATATCCCAACAATCTCCGACTAATCCATTCAACCCCAACAATCTCCCACTTGAAAACTGATCCAGTCAACCCAATAATCTCCCACTTGTAGACCGATCCAGTCAACCAAGAATTTCATTCTCAATCTGTACCATACCATTTGAGGCTTTGCATAATCTCAATGTTCCAACATCAACACAAAATGTTTGTTGGATTTCTTCCACCCTTTATCTTCTCCAAACACATCACCATCTTCCACTAACCTCCGAGTGAAATGGTATCGCCTTATTTGTTTTGTTTTTGAATGATAGACCGGGTTCCTCGCCAACTGCATGACACTCTAACTATCTACCTGAATAATCTTCTCGCGCTACTTCTTGCCTAATTCTTCTAGATAGTCTGTCATTCATATCATCTTCTTTCCAGCTTCAGCTATTGCCACGTACTCAACCTCAACAGATGAAAGAGCAATGCATTTTTGAAGCCTAGACATCCCATCATCTATAACTTGCTCCTACTTAGTTGTATCCTCCAACTGTAGGACCTCATCAAGGGGCTCTTGTTCCCCTTCATCAGTCAGCAATCGATATTGTAAAGAAGGTACGTACCTATCTTGTACTTTGATAGCTCTGGATGATCTTTTCAACACCTGCTCAGGTGTCACTTGCTCTACTTCTAGTTTCTCAGCCAGTCTCAAAAGTTTCTTGAATATCTGCAACATCACCCTATAAATTGTTCTGCAACTCAACCTCAACTTCCACTTGTTTCACCTATGGTTCCTCAACAACAGTCTTAGGAGTTACTTGAGTATATGCTACAACATCACTAGGTGAATCTTTTAGCAACTCAACCTCAACTCCTACTTGCTTCGTTGTCCCGGTACATTTCTTCAATTCTCTGGCAGTTTTTGTGAAGCTAACTTGTTTTTGTTTGCTCATGACGCAGTTCTCACAATGACTCATATCAATAGATTTCAGACCTTCCAAAACTCCTTCTGTAGCCAGCATCTTTATTCCTTTAACACTCATATATCCAAATCTATTATGTCATAGATTTGAATTTGAAGCACTATCAGCAACAGCAGCCATGCTCATACACTCTGCAGTGGTGTACAAGGTTCTTGATTTTGTGCCACGTGCTACCACCATAGTACCCTTCACAATCTTCCACGAACTCTTCCCAAACTTTTTTTGCATAACCTGTGCTATCCAACTGACCAATAGATATCAGGTTCTTGAGACTAGGAATATATCTGACATCCTTTAATGTCCACGGATTTCCTACCGGAGTTTTTATGCAGACATCTCTTTTTTCCTTCAATCTTCAAATCTTTGTTGTCGACAAGATACACCTTCTTGAAACTTCAAAACTTGAAATTTCGAAACAATTCTTTGTTTGGAAATATGAAAATATGCACCTGAATCCAAATTCAGGATTCAATCGGACTGTCCACGCTGAGAATTAGAACATTCTCAATGTCTTCTGCTGAATGTATAGAATCATCGTCATCATTTGATTTGTGATTCTGCTTCCTCTTTGTTTTTGTACAATCTTCCCGAAAGTGACCTTTTTCTCCACAACTTCAACACTTTACGTTTAATTTGTTTGGAGACTTTCCCCGGTTCTTTCATTTTGATCCTCCATTGTTTGGGCCCTTTGATTTACTTCATCCCCTTCGATCAACACTAAGAGCACTGCCTGATGAATCTCTGACTTCCCGTTTGCGAATACTTTCGCTGAGAACTACGTTTCGAATTTCATCAAACTTCAGCTTATCAGATCCTCGTGAACTGCTGATTGCGATAACAATAGTATCCCACGACTCGGGTAAAGATGACATCAAAATCAATATTTTAATTTCATCTTCGAAATTAATATCCACTGAACTCAGTTGACTTACAATCATATTGAATTGATTGATATGATCAGAAACAAATCTACTTTCAGACATTTATAGATTGAACAATCTCCGCATCAAATATACCTTATTCATAGCTGACGGTTTCTCGTACATATTCGACAGCGCCTTCAACAGATCTAACATTGTCTTCTCCTTGATAATTTTGAACGTCATATTTCTAGACAGCGTCAATCGGATCAACTCTAAGGCCTGGCGATCCTTGAGCTTCCACTACTCCATGGTCATAGTATTCGACTTCACCCTCAACAGGGGTTCGTGAAGACCTTTTTGGTACAGACAATCTTCAATCTGCATCTTCCAAAAACTGAAATCGGATCCATCAAACTTTTCAATTCCAATCTTTGAAATTTCCATCTTCACAGATCGTGGTGAAGTTCTCCTCGCTCTGATACCAGTTGTTAGGAACGTTGAACAACGCACACAGTTGATCAACGCAAAGAACAGGAGAGAGAAAATTCAAGGAGAAATATTGTCTAAAGGTTTTATTGATGATTTGAGGTATGTAAATAGAATAAATGAAGAAAACTGACGAATAGGGTATATATTATGATTTCAATTTACTAAAAATATAGTTTTCAAAGATTTAAATCTACTAGATATAATCTAACAAATATATCTCTATCAAATATTTACTAAATATCTACCATATATATATCTATTAGATCTTTACAAAATATCTTTTAAATATATCTTTAATCTAGGTATCAGGCTCCATATCCCAACAGAGAACTCAACGATTGTCGAAGGTCTGTATAACATATTTAGAATGGCTATGATGACTCGTACTTTGTGGGGACTATTAGGGTTTTGCCAATTAATTCGTAATAGTGAACTTGCCCCAATCAACAAGGATCCGCAACAGTAATCTCTATAATTATGAATCGGTAGAATTGGAGTTGAGGCTTGAAATGTGTAAACCTTATAGAACCTTATGGATATGTTTAGGGGGTCTCTAATCACTCCTTAATCGTGATCTTATTTGAATGAGAGGAAGAGACCGCATAGGCAGATAATTAGAGTACGAGGGTGATCTCCTCCTTTATAATTTTTACATTATGGGGCCTTCCAAGTTGTGAACCATATTTAAATAGATTCCAACTCACATACCCAACTAAATTTTTTATTTTTCAAAAATTTAAACCCAACCCAAACTTGGAAAAGAAAAAAATCTAACCTAATCAAACTCTAACAATTTGGATCAAATAGTCTAAATTATTTGAGTCATCGGATGGTTAAGCACTCTTGTTAGACTGCAATTATTTTGGGGCCCTCGCTACCATATACCATATAGCTCACAAACATTGATTAAAGTGTTAATATAATATATGATTGTAGTGGTTCAATAATTTGTTAAAGATTATATGGAAGAGGGTGGGGGGGTGAAAAAGAGAGATGAGTGGATGCTTTGGCGTTGGAGACAGAACTCAGCACATGGGTTGCCTGCCTCCTTCCATGGGGCCTCGCGTTCCTTTTCCCCCGAACATCTTTCCTTCACCCTTTTTCAGCTTTCAAAACCTGCCTTTCACTCAAAACATATCATCTCATATCATATGCACAACACTTACCTATATATTACCAATTCTTATCTATTCTTATTATCTAGTAGAAATTATTTATTTTCGTGTAAAAATTTCTTAAAATTTAAAATTTAAGGATATTGATATTACTTTTGAATCTATTATCTAATCATACTCATTATTTCGACGTCTCGAAATGATACTCAAATATGAGTTCATTACTCACACCATCAAAAGTCTATGCCTAAGGACCGACCACTTTTTTGAATGTCCTCCCTGTGCATGATATTTGAATAATCTTCCTTTTCAAATTTCTAAACACTTTCCCAAAAAACAGAAATTTCTAAACACTTTCCCCATTGTTTTTTATATAACGAAGTCAAGTCAAAATATAGATTATTTGTTCAAATGAATAAATAAAATCTTTAAAAATAAAAATATTTAATGTTCGTATTTAGAAGGGGTGAAATATATAATCTAAACCAACCCCAAAATATATAAGGTTTGGTTGAATTGTGAACTCTGTTCGAATTATTTGTGTCATCAACTAAGTCATTTTAACATATTTTGTCTTTGATCACATGGTGAAAACTAAGGTGAAAATTGTTGGTATAAGTGATTTCATATCCTCAAGATCACTCTTATTTTGTCAGTCGTCTCATTTCAATCATATACTCACATAGGAGTCACATTACATCATAAGGTTATTAAAAGTATTCTTAAAAACCTCAAAATACAACCATTACTAAACATTTTTACTTGAAAGCATTCATAAACACACAATCCTTTTACAACAACAACAAAAAAAAAAAAACACAACTTTTTGTTCCTAAAAGAACATGTGAAACTCATCCACAAATTTCTTTAATTTCCTCCCTTTTTTGCATACGATTATCACTAATGGGCAGTACACTCCAATGCATGATAAGACTGCTGGAGTTGCATGGTCATAGTTTGTTAGCATTGAAAAACTCAAAAGCAAAATGAAAGAAGACAACACAAGAAACACAACAAGCATCACTCACTTCAAACATTATTATTGTAACATTACAATACAAACATCATCAAACCACACACACCAGGTTGTTTTTGTCAGACCAAATACAAAAATCTCTTTCAGTATTACCTAAACTTCAAAACCCATAATCCCTTTTGGTCAAACAAACTTTTTGCAATTCAATCTCTGCCTCTCTCTGTTCTAGCCTAAACATAATAATACCAACTCTCTGTTTTTGGGGTTAGACTGTAATTTTAGGGGGAACTCATGAATTTGTCAGTGAATGAATCACCTTAGCCATCTTCTTAGATCCGTCGTTGAAGAAGGGGAAATCTCGCCGCCGAGGCTGTCGGTGCAGCAAGATGAATAGTTGGATTGCTGCTCCATCCCAAAGTATGTCCCGCTTACGCTCTTGAAGCTTGGACTTTTCAAATTTCGCTCGTAAACGCCATACCCATTTGGATCCGGAACTGGGAACGATAGCCGTTTTTTTGCTGACCCAACTCCTCTCTCCCTCTCCGGCGTTGATGGCCGTTGTCTTGGCGCGCTATGTGACCGTAATCGTGCCTTTGCGGACTCTGTGGCTGCCATGTAATTCGGCAAACAATTGCCTTGGCTATAGCTGCTACTTGCTGCTGTTCTACTTTGTTGAAGTAAATTGCCACTGTAGTAATAGTTTGACCTTAAGCTTGGTGTTTGGGATGTGTTTTCGCTTTTGTCGTCTCTGATGATACGTGGGCTTGCGGACCGGACTAGCAGAGGCCTTGTTTTAGATGGGGACGGTGTGGCTGGTGAGTGGTGGAAACAGGGTATGTTTTGTTGCGACCGGTGGAGTGGCGAGCTGCCGGAATGTGGATTTGTTCTTTGTTGATTCTGAACCGTTCTCCGGTGAGAGTAGGGCTGGAAGGTGTCGATTTCCACTGTTTTGATGGGGTCTCTTTGATCCGTTGAAGCTCTTCCCCTATTTTCCAATGGCTTCCTTGAATTCCATTGATCCAGCCATTTGGGTCTTTCTTCTAGATCATCTCCGCTTCCCATGGATGGACTTCGACCTCTCCGCCATATCTGAAAAAACAGAACAGACCCCTCAAAACAGAGCCCCAAAACAGAGCAGCAAGAGATAGAGAAAGAGATGAACCTGTTGGGAGAAGGCGTGGGAGAGATTTCGATCACGCTTCATGGCGATCTCTTTTCTGTGTTGAAGCATAGCTTTCACTTCTTCAACAGAGTGGGGCCGTTCATCCCAATCGTCTGTGACAGTGCTACTTCCCTCCCTTGACTGAGACTGCACGACACGACACCATTTTCATTCAAGTTTCTTAATTTCAAATCAAGAACGGAAAACAAAGAAAACCCTCATCGGATTTCACTCACAACGGATTTTCTATCGGAGAAGTTTTGGAGATAACGCGATCCAAGGACGCTATTTGTGTCGCTGAAGGTGGATTTTCTACTGCCGTCATGGGAGAGTCTCATCCGCTGATCGAGCACACGGGCTTGCACTCGAACCAGAGCTTGCATGCATCGAAGGGTCATCTTCGCCTGTTTTCTCACGTTGTGACCCCTCACCAAAGCCTGCAACTTCACCAACCCCTTCAGCGCACGCAGAGCCCTCCTTGCCTGTAAAATTCAATTAGAGTAACTAACACCCATCTCAACCCAAAAAGAACAGAGATTTACAGTACTTCATTAGCATACCAAGTATCCTCTAAAAGCGGTTTGAATAACAATCGCAGCATAGTGATATCTAGCGTGATTGGAAGGCCGAGTAGGTAGGCGAGCAATCTCCACAGCCGCTTGAGCAGTGGCGACAGCAGCTTCAGCAGTAGCCACCGCAACCGCAAGCGCTGCCTCGGAAGATGCATGTTCCGTAGCCGACGGCGTTTGGTGAGTATCCGTATCGTGTAGATTGGTGGATCGCCTGAAAATCCATCTCCGCTTCTCTCTTTTCTGCAGAGGAAACGAAGGTGAGATCAAAAGGGTAAGAACAGAGAGAAAATGAAAAGCTCAGACCTTGTCATCTTCATCCTTGGAAGGAGATCTAAAAGCCCTTTTGACAGCAGTCAACCAGGAGGAGCCTCCCTTCTTACCCATGAAAGAAAATGAAAAACAGAGGAGGGCTCTGCATTTACAAGAACAACACTAGCAGGGAGGGAAAAACAGAGAAAGCCAGTAAGCAATGCAGCTGTGATTCCATCCAGGCCACCCAAAGATAATCTCGAATTCAACCCATTGGATAGTGAAGAATAGGAATCTGTACCTTTTTTACTTTTAGTCTTTTAGTGTTTTTTTTTTTTTTCTTTTTGCAGGGAAATTAAATAAATTAATTAGTTGGATAAATGAATGAATAATAAGAGTGGAAGGAGATTGGGGACAAAAACAGCAATAATGGCGCATAGGGTTGTCAGTGGGATGAAGCGAAAGGACCCAAGAAAGGGGCAGTGGACATTTAATAATACAAAGAATTCAACGCCATTCCATTCAAGTCCAGGCGTTGCGTTGCGTTGCGTTACGATAGCCCCGCCGTGCGGAGGGTAAGGGGGGAGTGGGGGAGGGGTACGCCAACGCCAGCGCCATTGCTTGCTTTTTCCGCGGCCCCAAAGCCCCAAAAAAAGAAGAAAAAAAGTAATAATAAATGAGTGGAGGGATGGATAAAGGGCAGCGCCCGCTCCCCTGTTTCTCGAAATCTTACTTCAAAAAAACAAGGCTCATGTCGTGCTGTCACGTGCTACTGACACGGGGAGAGTGTTGGTTCACCTGTGGTGTCGGACCACGCTGTTCCTCCTTTTCAGTAACGCTTCTTAATGTAACCGTTTCCGTTCACGTCATGTTGCACTCTTCATTCTATAGTGTTTACTTTAATTATAAGTTTCCAGTTCCCGAACAAACAAAATACATCATTGAGTCTTTCTTGTCGTCCTCTAAAACATTAAAATAAGGTAGGTAATTGAAGATAATGTCTTTTATTTATATACTCATGATCTTTTATTTCTTAATTAATAAATGTGAGACTTTAATAATTTTCCTCTCGAACAAAATACAATATTGAGCTTCGAGATAGTGTCTCTTACTTATACACTTATGATCTTCTCCTTAATTAGTCGACGGGATTCCTACAAGGTCTTCACCTTCAAATAATTAAATAGGTATTTGAACCATTTATTTAGTCTATTTTTGTAAATAAAAAAATAAATAAATAAACGCTCCCTTTAAATTTGAACTTTGAAGTTTAAAAACTAATATATTTGATCCAATAATGTTTAAATTTGGTCAAGTTTTAAATGGATTTCTATAAGTTTAAAATTGATTTTTTTTTTTGGGTCAGTCTCTTAATCTAAAAAAATAATATATAACTTGATCAGAAAAAATTAACAAATTAAGTTAATTAAAATCGACAGAATCATTTTACATAAATTTTTTAGTCTCACTTTACATAAAAGTTACCATTTTCATAAATTGAAACAAAGTTACTGTAACTATGTCAAAATCATATTTGAAAAAACTATAATGATAGATAAATCTATATAATAATAAGACCTAAATTAAAGAGCGAGCTAAATTGATACTAAAATGAACTCGATGATATCAAGATGAGCTAGATCAATATCGATATCAAAATCTAGATTTGAGAGTTAAAGTTTTTACTTTTCTTCGTCATTTTTAGCTACATTGATATTAAGATGAGCTAAATTGATATTGAGATGAGTTTAATCGATATCGAGATGAACTAAATTAATATGACTTTTTTTATCTGTCATTTTTTGTCATATATATATATATATATATATCGTAATGACTTAAATCAATATCGACATTTTTATTTTTTTATGTTTTTTTTTCCTTTTTCCTTTTTGAAAACAATTATATTTACCATTAAATTCTATATTAAAATATCATATCATCTTTTTTGTAAGTATCCAACTGAATATTAATATTAATATAGATTTGAGTTAATATATATATATATATATATAAGCATATAACACCTATCACTCATAGATCTTGGTCATTGAGAGGTAGGTCCTTGAGAGGTTTATCATTGACATGTGAATTACAATAACTCTACCTGCAATGAATCTATCATTGAAAGGTTTATAAGATATGTATATCAATAATTATTATAATTTTGACTCGATGAATGAATGAATTGTGACCCGAAAATAAGATAATTAAGAAATATTTAAAAGAATTAAAAGTTACTACTTATACTAACAAAGTGTACCTGCCTTTTCGGTAGCTAAGTCATAGGAATTTCAAAGTTAGCTATGTTGCAGGATATATTGGGAGTCATCAAGTGTCAAATCTAGATTTCGATCTTGATCCAAATCTTGGACATGAAGCCTTACAATAATAGCTAACGAGCATATAAACAATTCACAGCCACTAATCGTGGCCGCACCCATGGAAGTCACCTACTTCTTGTAGCAACCAATGAGATCATTCTCATTCTCATGATAACAACTCTTCCAACTAATGACGAACTCACTCGGGTTAAGATCATTGACCAACTTACTGCCAATATGCCGCACGGAGGGACATTATGTTGATCGTTGCAACCAACGGTACATTCAAACTGATTCTGTTCATGCTCACTTTGTCCAAGCTTTCAACACTCCATGTTCAAGTGATGGACCCAAGACTGCTGAGGCCCATATGCCCACCAATTCATCTATTTTGGATTAGTCTAAAAATTACACGGATAAGGATCGTAGGAAAGGGTGCCTCTCTACCTATTACATTGTAATCTTTCTCCCGTTCAAAATATTCAATTATTAGATCTTGGTTGTCCCTTGTTTCACTAAAAATCTTCTTTCAATTAGTAAATTAATATATGATTTTCCCCTTACCTATACTAATTTGAGGTAAAATATGAGTATCATTGTAGTAATATTATTCATTTGAGGAAAAATATAGGTATATCGTTTTATTAATATTTTGAATACATCAAAATTATATTAGACGTCGTTCAACATTTATGTAAGGTAAAGGCTAATATTGTCATAATGGTAAATGATTTTGACATATATGGATGAATCAAATGACAAATTGTATTGGTGAATAAAGTACATTATGAGGTATCCGATATAACTATATCATTCTACGAAATTTTCAAATATATCGAAGAACATCAAATATAAATATATCATTTTATCAAATTATAAAGCATATGAGTAGACTATCGGTGTAACAACTCAACTTTTCACATTTCACTTAGCACTAAAAGTTTATAATTTAACATACATGAAAACGTGTTAAGAGAGGCTTCAGAAAAATCATGTTATGAGTTATTCCTTTCTAAATAAATTTTACACGCACGCAATTTAACAAATAGTTCGACAAAAAAACAAATAATAATAAAATAAAACGAAAATGCCTTCGTTCCAATCCCATAATTCCCATAAATTTTAAACAAGTACTTCAACTCAACGTGGAAATGTCTTAAATAGAAAAAAAAAAACATAAGAAGTCAAAGTTGCTCTATGACCGGCTTCTCTATCCTACTCACCGCTCACATGCTACAGTCTTATCTTTACTTGAAAATCATTTTTGAAATAGGATGAGTATTAAAAATACTCATTAAGTCCCTATTAGGGTCAATTATATAAATAACGGTATAATCCATCAATAAAAATCAAGGGATCTTGGTGGTTGATTATATGTGTTGTGCTTAATCTATTCACCAAAAAGCAATTTTCAGCAATCACTATTCAGTGACAATGAGTGATTGACGATCCTATACACACAACATTATCCCTTGCCACAAAAATGATTATCAACAATTACCTCATAAGGTCATTAGTGTCGAATTACGTGGTACACAGCATGTAATTCTTTATCACATTCAAGTAGATATCAAATATGTGAGACAAAATCAATTTAGGGTTATTATTATTATTATTTTGATAATGCAATAATGGATATATAAGTGTGTGGATATATATTATTAACCATCAGCCACCGAGGATACCAAAATAGCCTATACACCTAAATACTTAATATAGAAGTCATTTTATTTTATTATTTTTTTTTTTAAAAAAAGAAAGGTCAAAGGAAATAATTGATGCCTAAATAAAATAATACAGCTGGATTTTCTTTATACATTTTTTTTTCCTTTTACAGAGAAGCAGTTGGATCTCTTTCTTTTCTTTTGCCGTTAAATTTGGTGTACCATAAAAGAAAATAATTGAATTAAAAATTTAAAACTATATTTTCTTAAATGACTTTTTTTATTTCTTTAATTTTTTATTTATCACCTTCATATCTATATCAATTTATTATAAACTAATTTTAATATTTATCTCATACAAAAGATTAAATTGAAAAATGTTAAATTATATGAAGTTGAATTTAGAACATTTAATAATAAAGATGAAATTCAAAATATATATATATTTATGAAACAAGTTTTTTTTTTTTTTTTGTAAAATGGATGAAAACTCAATATTTAGAAGTATAGAGGACGAAGATGGTAAGATACGTGATGAACTGCTTACTTAAAAGCATGTAAATATGAATTTTTATTTTATTGACAATATTTACTAAAATACATTATTAACATTTCGTGTCAAGTTAGGAATCCTTACCTTCGTAAAAAGGTCATCTTTACTTGCGTACAAACTTTATCAATCATATTCTTATTTTTTATTTGGTGGACTTGCGGAATTTTTTTTTTTTAATTATATTAATTTCTTCTTTTATAAGAATATACATTTTGTTAGATTTTATTATTTTTTTTTAAATACTAATTTATACGTGTTAAAACTAGAGTATGATATTTGAGTCGAGCTTAAATGAATTTCAAATCTAAAAAATTAGAATGATAAGGCCTAAAGCCAACCATTCTCAATTATTAGGTCTAAAAGTCAAGAAAGTTCAAATCAAACAATTACGCACAAAAAAACATTAAAGTGAAGCCCATTTACCTAAAAGGTTCATAAGTTGTGTGTTTAACAAAAATAAAATTAGAAGATGTAGTAAGTTTTTGAAGATGGAATACTCAAATCGACCTCGAAAATAAGTTCGAAAATCATCCGTACATTTAAGAGAGAATCAGATGATCAGAATTGAAGACTAGGACATGTACTATGAAAGAAAAAATGTTGAGTCGTTGATAAGAAGATATTTTATTGTATTTAAAGAATCACGTTGAGAACCAAATTGTCACCGAAT